TTTTAATTGTCTGCCCATTTTAACATGAATAAATCAGTTTATTTCCAATAAACCTCCAAAAAAGGCGACCTTTTCATAAACTTTACAGCACGTAAGATAGAAAACATTTTCCTTCACTTTCTGTATTTCTCATAGTGGTGTAAAGTCAACGTGTTCACTTTACCTGAGGTCGATTCCTTTACGGTGAGTAAAATACACCCACAGTTAAATCACTCGACATCCAAGAGAAAATGTCAAAGAACTCAGTAAAATACATTTATTGACAAAAAAAGTTGTCTTAATCTGTCCTTTTAATTTTACACACAAAAATATCAAAATACTTTACAGGGATTTTAATCTGAATATCGTCAAATTTGCTTCAATCGATTCTCTCAAACAAATACACTGTACAATGACAACGTGCTTGTCCTTTTTAAATTCAGTGCTCATTTCATTTCCTTTTTTTTTCTCTTCAGGGAACAATGCATTTAAAATTATGCATAGCTATTACTTGGTATTTAGCGATACATTTGAGAGACATCACTGCATTTCATGCAATTCATATCCCGATAGTTAACTTTGCCGTCCGTCAGACGTCACTCGGAGCCAGGTGCTTAAATGTTGCAATACATAAAAGATACACAGTACGACATTCATAACATGAATTATCTTTACCCAAACTTCAAAGCTTAAAAGAATGAATGTGTTTTTACACAAACATATTAAAGTATACAACTCGGATCTCAAAAAAACAAACAAACAAACAAACAAAAAAAACATAAAAAAAAAAACATTTTACAATTGGGCCAAAGCGCCCCAGTGCAACATGAGAAAGAAACTGTTTCAGAAATCCCTCGCGCCGCTCTGCAGGCGATCGTGTGGTCGCGCTGGTCATACTTGGTAAATTGCAGACCTCCCAGCAGGAGTCACGTTGGCTCATGTCTTTGTCAACATTCTCCTTCTGTCATTGCTACAGTATTTATCACCAACCACTGAGCTGCGTGAAGCTTCTGATGTCTACATGAGCTGCTAACAACATAACATAAAATAAAAATAGATATCACATGTATGGGAGTTCATGTTCAAGACTCCAAACAGAGTGACAAATGAAGGAAGGAGGAAATTAAATAATCCCTTCGTTTGAGGGCGGAAAAAGTGAAATGGTGACGAGCCTTTGTTAGTAAAACTGAGCTAAGCGGAGGTGTCACTTCATAAAGTGGAATGGAAGGAAAAGCTTATTAGGGGAGACCAGGGACACCTGTAACACCCAACGCTAATGTATCCAATCAGAAAGCTAGGACGACGACGCGCCGGCAGGATTAACGAGCTCGTGTCCAAATTGTTGCCTTTTGTCTATTTTAATGCTGTGAAGAGGAAACGCAGATCGTTCAGTCGTGCTACATTAGAACATCATTTTGACACAGAAGGAATGAAAGCTAGAAGATGACGTCTTCTCAAAAAAAACATATCAAACGTCTAGTTTCTGCTCGTCTACACCACAGACGATAAACTGCTGCAGTTTTTTTTTTCATTGAAACTGCAACATATGTCATGTTTTTGATGCAACTATTTTGTGACTGTGAAGGTTCTCAGTCATCCAGGTCATCGTAGTCAAAGGAGCTTGCAAAGAACCCACACCCAGTT